ACTGTGTGTATGAGTTAAGCATGCATGTCTAAACAAATGTGCTATTTATTTCACTGTGTGTATGAGTTAAGCATGCATGTCTAAACAAATGTGCTATTTATTTCACGGTGTGTGCGAAGTGAGCATGCCTACACAGGGTAGGGTGCGTACTTTTCTGCGTGTACGAGTGCGAAGTGAATGGCTGTACATTTTGTGTACATTTCGCGGAATTTTGCACAGGGGAGAGATAGTGATCCGCTAGGGGACGGCTCTGATTGGCTAATTTTGTCTCTTATTTCTTTTATTTTTTATAATTTTTGGTTAATTTTGTTTTATTTTAGAATTAGGAATAGGGTTAGGGTTAGGGTTAGGGTTAGGGTTAGGGTTAGGATTAGGGTTAACTTATTTCGATATCCACAACTCATTTCTCTATTCACTATCTCTCCTCTGAGACCTACTACATTTCGCGTAAACTTGACTCGGGCGTTGTAGGTGAGGCAGTCATCGAACCTCATGCGATGCTGTAACTGACGTTCTATGTAACTGACGCAGCGTCACAGGGTTGTTAGATCTGAGCTGTAGGTGACGCAGCCTTAAAGGGATGTTGGCACTGACGCTGAAGCTGACGCAGCGTCATAGAGCTGTTAGCGCTGAAGCTTTAGCTGACGCAGCCTTATCATCCTGTTAGCTCTGACGCTATAGCTGACGCAACCTTGCCCTGTCGTTAGCTCTGACGCTATATCTGACGCAGGCTTGCATTACTAATATCTCTGACGCGGTAGCTGACGCAATCGTGCCCCTACCGTGTGCTCCGGCGTCGCAACTAAAGCAACCGTACCCCCGCCGTTAGTTCGGACGCTGTGTCAAGCACAGTCGCGCCCTGATATTAGCTCTGACGCAGTTACGGACGCAGCCGCCTTACATGCACTGCTGTCATTCCTAACCTAACGTGGAATGACTGGGTGCGAGTGCATCGCACTGATTTTCGCATGAATTACCTATTCAACGCGGCAGCGGCGGATCCGGTGTGTCGGCACTAGAGCTCATTAGAGCGATCGAGTGTTGATTATGTATTCAATCACATCGACCGACCAACTCCGCGGGTCTAGCCCGTGGCTATTGTCGACCACACTTATTAAGCGCCGTATGCAATACAATCGATATATTTATTGCCGCTGCATTATCCACCTGAACAGGTACACACACGCACCAAAGTGGCATATTATGTCGGCTGGTCGACACATGCCGGCGTGTGGTGGAATTCGAATCGCAGGTTTCAGCGGCTGCCGCGTTCCACTAGCGTCGCTGGCAAGGTATTGACGCCACTCGCCAGCAGCGCCGACGTTCACGCGCAAGTTTGCCGCGGGTGGAGAGAGAGAGAGAGAGAGAGAGAGAGAGAGAGACAGGCAGCAACCCCCCTGAGTAGGCGGGCCGCCTCGCAGGTTACATGCACCGCGAGCAGTGACAAGGATCATGTGCGTTTAGCATGCATGCGCGTGACCGAAAGTTTTTCAACGACGCGTTTAACTTTGGGTCGTGAGAGAGATAGCGCCCGTATTGTGACTGTGGTGTGATAGCATCTATATTGTGACTGTGGTGTAATAGCATCTATATTGTGACTGTGGTGTAATAGCATCTATATTGTGACTGTGGTGTAATAGCATCTATATTGTGACTGTG